AAAAAAAAAAAAAAAAAAAAAAAGATGTTCAGTGAGGCAATCCCAAGTGTTTACTTGGAAGCAAAATATTTAGCAACAGTTCATTAACCAGTCCTGCTATGGGAGTTATCTGGAATAGCTGTTAATTCAGACATGTACACAGAAATTCTCTCTTTCATGTACACACACAAGAAAACACGCACAAATGTACTTTGGGGAGCGTATAATATATAGTGAGGTAGACATTAATTCTTTTCCCTTACTGCGCTTCACAGTCTGTACCATATGTCCAGTTTAATATTTCATTTACAGATACATTTAGGCTTAATGTAGGCTTAATGGTTTATGTTTGCCATGTAGTTCAGGTATACCCTTTGTCCTTTTATAACCTACCCTCTGAGTCAAATCTTAGTGGGCCCCTCAGGTAGACGTTGCAGATATGTTTCAGGGAGTTGCCACAGAACATATGACAAGGTAGAGGTGGAGCTAAATCATCCACCCAGGTTTCCAACTCTCAGGTTTGAACTCTTCCCTCATCCTCACTGTTTCTCACACAGCATGGTAAGGCCCAGTACCGTAGAAATCTCATGAGTCTCTTGTCTCCCAGGCCTAGCATCGGTGGAAGCCTACAGCTACAAGACCAACGAGTGGTTCTTTGTGGCCCCGATGAACACACGGCGGAGCAGTGTGGGTGTGGGCGTTGTGGAGGGTAAGGAAGCAGCAGTGGATGGTGGCCAGTCCTACCCTGGATCAGAGGCCTTGTTCTGGGTTTAACATCATGCTCAATACTTCATTTGCCTTGGCTTCTTTCTTCAGATCACTACTCTGAGTTAGGTTCTATTATCCTAATTTAAGAAGTGATTAAAACGACTCAGAAAGATGAAGTTACTGCACCAAGGATAATAAATGGCTGAACTGGGTTGGGGAATAGAAGAAGCCTATAGGGGAAATGCCAACCTATCATTTTGGCCACTTGTCAGTAGCTCTGCTAAAGTTTGAGGAGGAGAAGGAAGTCAACATATGGTATGATACAGGGTGTGAGTTAATGGTGTTTAATTTTGTCCTCATATTCATATGTTGAACATTAGCAGAGCAGTCACTGACCCAGGTACCTCTTCCCAGGTCTGATGACTCTTGGCAAGTTAGGTTGGTGGTCAAATCATATTCTTAGAGAAGGTGTATGGGAGTAGGGCAAGAGGGAGTAGGGAGATCTGGGGCCTGGTCAGAGGAGGCATACTAATTTGTAAAAAGAACCTTTTACTTCTAGTGTTTTTATTTTGTTCCCCAAACTCATCTGAAGGAGATAGGCAGCACTCAGATTTTCTCTTTCCAGATGGTAGAACTGAGTCTCAGAGGGGTTAAGTGATACACCCCACATTGTAATGATAGCATTGGGTCATTGGGAAAGTCATGATGCATTTTTGCATAGAAAAATTTGTCTTGATTTTCCCAACAACCTAATAGATAGCACAGCCTGTCCCTAAACCTAAGTATTCTGACTCCTAACCCAGTGCTTTTTCTGCTGTGCTACATTCCTTCACATGGTTAGCAAACACTAATAAGTAGGAGTTTCAATTATGTGAATGCAGTGTACCAAAGATTTGAGTATTATTAGAATTAAAACATAGTTTTCAGGACAACAGTGCTTCATTAATCTGTTCTGATAAAGGAATTTAGCTGCTGGAATATCTGTTCATTCAAACACACAGACATTCTTCCTCTCTCATGTGCACACACAAGAAAACACATATGTATGTTTTTACATACATACAAATGTACTTTGGGGAGAGTGTAATATATAGTGAATTAGACATTAATGGAAAAATTCTTTTCTCTTGCTGTACTTCATGGTATGTACCATATTATACAGTATAAAGAGTCATTTAAAAGTATGTTATTCTACCATACTAAACAAGTTATTTTAGCGAGTACAAGGATTTTGTCCTCCTACCAAGATAAATTGTTCCTTGCAATCTCATCCTCTTGGTGGAACAGAAATTGATTTGTCTGCCAAATCTAAGTGCTTTGTCTAACCACTTTCCTATTTCCCTCCTTGTTCCTTAGCCAGGAATATCGAACAATAGACTAGGGGTTAAAAATAGCAAATCCCAGTTAATAGACTCAAGGAGGAACTTTGAATGGGTATTTTCCAGCTGCTACAGGGTTGGAATGGTTGATGGGGCTGAGAAGAGGTGCCTTAATGGTAGTAGTTGAAGATACTCTCCTACACAAAGGCTTTGTGAGCATGTTCTGAATGTGGAAGAAGTTCTGTCGTGTAGCATGCCTCGCTGACATGGAGGACAAACTGAGAATTTGTTTCTCTTACCCCTTCTAAATATGAGGCTCTTTGGACTATGGGTCACCCTGGGCAGCAGAGAATCCAATTTGCAGCTTTGGTAAGAATATTGAGGAAGGAATTGAAGTGGACTCTGCTTCACTGTGATCTTGTAGATACTGCTCTCCACATTGTCGGACTTACTTGCCTCCCCCCATCAAATGACCTTAGCTATATGGTCTGAATGATACTGAAAATAAATGGAGCTAACTAGGATAATTTATTACTGACTGCCTTGAAGAATCTCTTCTTAGGAAAATGGAAAGAAAAGATCAGAGTACAGACAGAAAACTCCCCAACAGAGTGGAGAGTGCATTATAGAAATTGTTATGTGTGAACCAGTGTACATCATGTGAGTGGCTGGATCCTAGAGGAGCTGCTCAGTCAGTTTTTAAATATTTGACTTCAGAGACCAGCAAATGGCGAAATGGTTACATTGCTCTTTGTTGGACTCCCATGTAGTTGACTGCAGTTCCAATCTCAGATCCAATGACTTGAAACTCACGCCGGGTGCATGTACATTATGTGTGCCTAAAACCCTGAGAGGTGACTGGAGGAAAAGGGATTGCAGCATGGCCATCCCCCCCCGAAAGAGTGATTTCTCACTTTCTGTCTCTCTGGCAAGCGATCACACCCTATAGCAAAAATATCTCTCAAAAAATAATTGACTTCAGCAAGAGCAGAACTGTGGCGAGTTATCTTTTTCAGAGGGATTAGTTGATATGGCTTTCAGATAGAAAAAAAAATTAGGCTCAATATGATAGGGGAAGAAATAATTTGACATTTGAAATAATTTGACTGGTACTGATGAGAGCATAGGTTTGAGTATGAGAATCTTTATAACTTAAAACAATGGCAGATTTTCTAGTTGAGTTATACTCTTGATATCTCTCCTTTAAGAAGGCACGTAACATGTACCCACAAAAACTATTGATTAAGTCAGTCTATTAAATGGATTTGCCTTTGACAGTATTTATTTAGAGTATAATTAGTATTCAAAATCCATGTTATAACTCCATGGTTCCCTATAGATCTGAGGTTCACAGATAAGGTAGGCTTCCTTCCTATCCCCCCATAAAAGAGATTATCCTATTGCATCCTAAGACTAAATAAATGTTAAACCCCAAATGTTAGAATCTCTGTTTAGAGAGAGCACAACTACTAATTTTCTGTCCCCTTACCCAGTCTCACTCCTAACTTCCAGCTCTGAGCAGAAATGATGCTCTTAGATAGCAGCCTAATAGTATTTTTATTTTAAAAATAGATGATGGTGCTTCAGGGCTCTTGTACGTAGCTCAGAGATCACAGGGTAGTCTATGGAAAAATACCAGCCACCTCAGCCAAGAATGTACATAGAACATTCTACTCACATATTCTACCTGCCAGAGTTGTGGAAGGAATAGGAGCAGTGGTGAAGATACAAGTTTGAGTTCTCATTAAAGACTATTTTTTGATTTTTCATATTTGTCCTATCTGCTATTGTGAGCCTTTAGCCAGAAAGTCAGCCAGCCTGCTCATTACTGGGCGCCGCTAGCTTTCTCTCTGTCTAGTGCTGGTGCCTTATCCTAGAGACTTAACATTTTAGGTTGTTGGGAAAGTTGTGATGTATTTTTCTGTGTTTCTATGCAAAAATACATCATGACTTTCCAAACAACCTAATAGTTTACCAGCAAGAATATGCTAGGCCCCAGTAGTGCCAGTCCATATCTTTGTGCTGAGTATTTGGGGTACTTATTTAGAACATCAGTGTTTCTTCCAGAAAGCTCAGGGCTTAAGAGCAAGTAGAAGGCAGAAAGGTAAAGGATGCCTTGCCTGATTGGGGAGTGAGTTGGTGGTCCCCTGGAACAGGGGAGCCCAGAACTCTGACTGAGGTCAGGGTGCCCCAGCGGGTTGAAGATAGAGCTGCGGCTGAGCTCCAGTTCCTTACCAGTGTCCTTGGCACCACCATTAGCCATTTTTTCTGTTCTAGGGAAGCTGTATGCTGTTGGAGGTTATGACGGGGCCTCTCGCCAGTGCCTGAGCACCGTGGAGCAGTACAACCCAGCAACCAATGAGTGGATCTATGTGGCAGACATGAGCACCCGCCGCAGTGGCGCAGGTACGGGGGAGTCTCAGGGTGTAGGCTATGTCTGTTTTGTTCACAGGTGGGTCATGAGTTGAACAGCTTATCATCTCATCTCCCTCTTCTTTCCTTTTTCTTTATCTCACTAGCATCTCTGTAGCTACACACAAACACGTATACATTAATCTTTGCCAGGGGATCATGTTGCTACAGAACGAATGAGATAATATTTTCTTTGTCATCATCCTTTCCACATCTTTGGGGGGGTATCTACATCTCTTGAGTGAAGGCTTACTATATGCAAGGTGCTACCCTAAAAAAACACTTTATATGCCTCCATCTATTTAATGCTCACCACAGCCTTTAAAAGTAGGTACAATATTGAGACCAGCAGTTAGTGTAATGACTATGTTGCTGAACTCCCATGTAGTTGACCGTGGTTTGAGTTTCGGACCTGGTGGCTTAAAACTCACACCGGGTGCGTGTGCGTGTGTGCCCAAGATCCCGAGAAGAGAATGGAGGAGAAGGGATTACGGTATGGCCATGCCCCCTAGGGGTGATTTCTTGCTTTCTCTCTGTCTCTCTCTGTCTTTCTGGCGAGTGTATGTACCCTGTAGCAAAAACCTCTCAAAAAAAAAAAAAAATTAGGGTAAATGTTAATTCTGCTTACCAGATTTAGAAAGGTAAGTCTACAAGGGGAGAACAATTTGTCTAACGTCATGTACTTTTTAACTGGCAGAACCAGAATTCTCAATCCAAAGTTAGCTTTTTTAACCCCTAAGTGATTAGTGTCTCTCATTTCTGCAAAGTAGTAGGACAAACACTGCTGTCTCCATTTTCATTTGATGAAATTAAGCTTGCCTGAAGTTCCTGTGTCAGGGGTTGAATGCCCAACCATTAGTGTTCAAATCTGGAGACAAAGTTATGTCCCTCATCCTCACTTCATCCCCCTCCCCAACATGGGAAGAGAACAACTTCCCAAATAGTTTTTCACTCCTCTCTGTGAGAAGACCAGGAGCTCGGGACCAGCAGATGGCATAACAGGGGGTGATTTCTTGCTTTCTCTCTGTCTCTCTCTGTCTTTCTGGCGAGTGTATGTACCCTGTAGCAAAAACCTCTCAAAAAAAAAAAAAAATTAGGTACAATGTTAATTCTGCTTACCAGATTTAGAAAGTAAGTCTACAAGGGGATGAACAATTTGTCTAACGTCATGTACTTTTTAACTGGCAGAACCAGAATTCTCAATCCAAAGTTAGCTTTTTTAACCCCTAAGTGATTAGTGTCTCTCATTTCTGCAAAGTAGTAGGACAAACACTGCTGTCTCCATTTTCATTTGATGAAATTAAGCTTGCCTGAAGTTCCTGTGTCAGGGGTTGAATGCCCAACCATTAGTGTTCAAATCTGGAGACAAAGTTATGTCCCTCATCCTCACTTCATCCCCCTCCCCAACATGGGAAGAGAACAACTTCCCAAATAGTTTTTCACTCCTCTCTGTGAGAAGACCAGGAGCTCGGGACCAGCAGATGGCATAACAGTTACATTGGTAGATTCCCACATGGCCGACTGTAGTTCAAATCTTGGACCCAGAAGCTTAAAACTCATGCTGGGCACGTATGTGTGCATGCCCAAAATCCAAAGAGGAGAATGGAGGAGAAGGGGTTGTGGCATAGCCATCCCCCATGAAGGGTGATTTAGCATGCTTTGTGTCTCTGGCAAATGCACTAGCCCTGTAGCAAAATCTCTCTTAGAAAAGAAAGAAAGAAAGAAAGAAAGAAAGAAAGAAAGAAAGAAAGAAAGAAAGAAAGAAAGAAGGAAAAAAAGAGAAGAGAAGAGAAGAGAAGAGAAGAGGAGAAAACCAGTGCTGTTTGGTCCTTTGGGATTTTCCAGGAAGTGGAGAAATAGCCCCTCTTCCCTGCTTCGTCTTCCCCACATCATCCTAGAGGCCCAAAGAAAATGGCATGAAAAGGCAGAGAGAAGCACTTAACACAGCTCTATTGCCAGTTCCTTTGGTGAGTTGTGAGCTAGTACCAATCTGGTCCTCATGGGAAGGCCGTATGATTTCTGGGAAAGGAAGTCACACTGGGGTTTCCCCCACATTATTACTCCTTTCTCTCTCTCTTTTCTTTCTTTCTTTCTTTCTTTCTTTCTTTCTTTCTTTCTTTCTTTCTTTCTTTCTTTCTTTCTTTCTTTGTTTAGAGAGGTTTTTGCTGTAGGGCATGTGCACTCGCCAGACAGAGAGGGACAGAGACAGAAAGCGAGAAATCACCCCCCAGGGGGGATAGCCATGCCTCAATCCCTTCTCCTCCATTCTCCTCTCAGGATCTTGGGCACACACACACACACACACACACGCCCAGCGTGAGTTTAAGCCACCGGGTCCAGGACTCAAACCGTGGTCGACTACATGGGAGTCCAGCGACATAGTCATTACATTAACTGCTGGTCTTTTCTTTTATTTATTTATTTTTTTAGTTTTGGAGATTGAGTTGCAATCTCACTTTATAGTACCAAACATGACCACTTCCTCAGCATTAATTAAAAATTACTCTAATAGTTTTTAAGAACTTTAGGTACTTACTGGTTACAAAAGAAAAATTTATATGGTTTCATTTAAGAAGGATTTATGCTTGGAATGCTATTTTAAGGGAGATTTTCTGCTGATCCCGACAGGTGGGCCCTTCCTGAATGCGGAGTAAGATGGCTGGAAGTCAGGGAGGTTGGGTTTTAGCGCTGGGTTGGCCCTATCTTGCCATGTGACCTTGAGTAAGCCCTTATTCCCTCTTTGGCCTCTAATTCCTCAGATGTGAAATGAGTAGGTTGTAGTAGATGTTACCTAAAGACCAATTCAGTTCACAAATATTATGATTATTTTGCCTCCATAAAGCTCTTTTAGTAATTTTGACTTCAACTTCTTGGTAGAAACGTCTCTGTACTTCCTAAAACCCTCTACTGTTATTTGGGTGAGGGAGTGAGTGTTCAAGGCCCATAGATATAGGAACAATTTAGCAGAAGAGGGGCAGTGCACACTGAGATGCGTGGTGACTTCTAGAATCCTCCCTAGAAGGGTGGGGAGGCCACCAAATGTGAAGCCACGGGAATAGACTATCTTTGAAAATTCAGGCTCATCTTTGTGGATGGTGCTGTCTTCGGAAGCTACTGGTGGCTTGTCTTTGTCTGGCTGCTTAACTAGTTCTTACTGGGCAGACATCACACAGCCCCATTCCAGCCTCTCACCTGGACTGGAGACCCTGGATGATGACACCTTCTACTGCCTCTATCCCTGAGAGACATAGTGACCTCAGTTTAGAGAATTTTTTTCCCCTCTCAACCTACCGTCAGAGTCCAGGCCTCAGAGCCCCTGGTCACCCTTTACTTCGTGCTTACTTCCCTCAGATTTGGGGAAGTCTCAACTCTGAACTTTGGAAACTTCATACTTATTATAATGGATGTTTTTTTTGAAGACCCAGAGACCAAAGGCCCTGGTCTCTGACTGCTTGAGACCCTTTGTGTTGCCAGGAGTCCATGCAGCCTAGATCCAAGAAACCTCTGCATGGGTGTTTATGGATTAGGCTATGTAAGGGTAGTGGCCAGGTTGTCAGGGAAGTGTTGCCTCTAAATGCCTGGATAGCTGTTTACCTTTTCAGCAGGGCATAGGCAGCACCAGAAGATGGTTAGTGGGGAAAGAGGCTATCCCTGGGGGCCATGGAGGTGCTAGTTCCTACTGAGTATGTAGAAAGGGCAGGTGAGGCAGCTTGGGAACACACTAAAAATATTTTAAACCTGACACTTAGATAGCCATTATTGATACGACAGCACCATCTGCTGTTAGTTTAGGGCAACTGCTAGCACCCACTAGCACACCAGCCTAACTGATGGATTTTACATATGTTGTCATTCAAGTTATCTGTTGAGAACCTGCTATCACCGGGCACAGGGAAACAGAACAAGATGGACTTGGCTCTTGTCCATATGAAGTTTATATTTTACAAGTCTAGTCTTTGGGTCTAAAACATTGCTGCACATCCCAATTGCTTCAGGAGCTTGTTTTGGCTCCTGACCAGTGTCCCTGGGAAGGAAGCCTTAGAATCTATATTTTCCAAAATCTCCACATCCACTTGAAGTGAATGAAGCCTGTCCATGAAGTAGAGGAGTCAATGGTCCAAGGGAACTGCTCATGTAATTCAGCTCCCTCCCTTTACAAATGGGAAGACTGAGGCCCAGAAAGGGAGGGGAAGGTCTAGAGAGAGAGGTCCAGAACCCAACGGTCCTAGTTACCAGGTTGGTTGCTCCTTCTAGACACCATGCAAGTGTCCATATTTATGAATTTTGTCTCCCTGAGTTGTATTAAAGGATTTTAAAAGATCATGCTAAAACTTGCAAAATGACGCAGTTCCAGCACTCAGCTCAGGCTGATCAATACTATGAGTGACGTAAGGCCCTCTGTACAATATAGGAACAGAAAAGTGGGCATAAAGAAGTTTCTGCTTTTGAAACCAGCAGGGCAGTCACCCTAATAATGATCTCAGTGCACCTGCTATGTGGGTTCTTTCAACTTTTTTTTTTTTTTTTGACAGATTTTTGCCATAGAGCATGTGCACTCACTAGACAGAGAAAGAGAGACAGAAAGTGAGAAATCACCCTTCCTCCCAGGGGGGATGGCCATGCTGCAATCCCTTCTCTTCCATTCTCCTTTTGGAATTTTGAGCATACATGCACATGCACCTGGCATGAATTTTAATCCTCTGGGTCCAGGACTCGAACCTCAGTTGACTACATGGGAATCCAGTGATGTAACTGCTATGTCAACTGCTGGTCCCGCTTGATTTTTAACTCTTTCACTCAACTAATATAAGGCTAAGTAATCCAAGTCATAAAACATCGTGGGGAAAAAGTAGGCAATACAGACAGGCAAAAAAGAAAACAAAGGTAATTTTACAACCCAGAAATAACTGCTTTTAATGTTTTGGATTTCTTTCAGGCTTTTTTCCTTTTCATTTTCCTTTGCTTATGACCTTCTCCTCTGCATGCGATATAGATATATATGTGTATCTATAGGCATATCACATATGTATACATAAACATATATGTGTACATACAGATATACATATGTTTATATTTTCAAAAGCAGAAATGGCATCGTATTTGCTTTATATTTCAAAGTTTTCAGATTGCCAGTCTTAAAAGGAGGCAGGCAGGGTGTCATTATATTTGTTTTACAGATGAGAGGACACTGAGGTCCAGGGAGACAAAACACCACTCCCAAGTCACCCTGCTGGTAATGGCAGTCCAGGACTGGATGCTGGCCTTCTGGTTTCTGGTTACTGTAGCCAGCCTGAGGCAGGGACACTCTGCTCTGCCTTTCAGGGGTTGGGGTGCTCAGTGGACAGCTGTACGCCACAGGTGGGCATGATGGACACTTGGTGAGGACGAGCGTTGAGGTTTATGATCCTGGAACAAACACCTGGAAGCAGGTGGCAGACATGAACATGTGCCGGCGCAATGCAGGTAATACGACTGCTCTCTTCATCTCCTCTGGGGGTCGTGGGGGTTTCTTCCTGAAGATACTAATGGCAAAGGAGAGGCTGAGGGGAGAGATTCCCAGGGCCTGAAGCTGAGCTTGTATCCTAACGCAGAGCCTGAGTGTCCATTTGCTATGTGGTCTCTGGACTAGCAGAGGGAAAAACTTGGAACTCAAAAAGCTAGCTGCAGGTTCTGCCACTTAGATGCAGAGGACTCCCCCCATGAAAGGTGATGACTTTCACTGCACATCTGTGGGCCCAGACCCAGCAAGCCCTCTGGTTGCCATCAGTTCCCCCAGCCTACTGGCTTTGTTAAGTGATTAAGCACAGCGCCCTGCAGACATGGGCCAGATAATGGCACTTGATTCTGTCTTTTCTTTCCAACACTTGGCTAGGAGAGCCTCTCACTTCTCATCTGAAACCAGTCTTCTTCCTTTCAGGATTAGTCAGACCCTTGATTGATTCTCCAGTAGAACAACCAGCCTTACTACTCTTCTCTGTACTTCCTGTCTTCCCTTTCCTTCCCTTCCTTTTCCTTTGCCCTTCCGATAGGGGCGATTTACCCTGGAGTGTTTAGTTTTTTTTTTTTTTTTT